ATAGTTACAGGTATCCTATCCCAACTGATCGACAGAATGCTGTCGCCGTAATATTGTCTATATATTACATAGGTGATTATCCAAATTTCGCCATCAGTGGGTTTTGAACTCACAACCTACCACTTGGGATATGACAACTTATCCACTTCACTAAGTTGCCACATCCTTGAGATTATATTTATAACAATTTAAATTCAATATAACTAATTTAATTTATAATTGATTATAAATAAAAAAGATTTACTTTAAAAAAATACCATTTTACTGTAAACATAATTATAAAAATTCAAACAAACATTTATTTTTTTTAATAATAATTATTTATTTCTTAAAAATTAGCTAAAGTAACTATTTTTAGTATTTTAAAAAAATTTTTGTTTACCAATTTTATTTTATAAACTACTCTTAACTCTAATTAATATAAACAAACTTAAAATTTTTTACAAAATTCTTTAAACTTATTGTTATATTTGCTTTAAATTTTTCAGTTCATATCATATTATATATAATTTTAAAATTTTATTTGTTAACAAAGATACTACATGTTCTATAATGTAACCTATAAATTTACTAAATATAATTCTTTTTTTAATTTTACAAAAATATCATATAACTATCTTATTAATATCTTATTTTATATTATAACTATATTTACTAAATGCTTACATTCATAGTTTTTCTTACTATATATATATTTTATTTTATTATTTTTAGAATTTAATTATTTAAATTTTCCTTTAATAATAATACCAGATTTAATTATTTTTTTAATATAAACTTTTATTTCAATTCTAATTTTTAAAATTTGACCTGAAATAAATTTTAATTTAATATACATTGTTAAGAGCAAAACAGGTACCAAAATTGCTTTAACTTAGTGCTACTCTGACTCATGCTCCTTTATAGCAAAAACATTCTTGAAACAAACCAACTATTATGCATCAATTGCATCTTGAGAAACTTGAAAGCCAAGCTGCCCAACTAAAACAATACTGTAATAATGCAGAATTGGGTACTATAGCAATTTATTAAGATAAATCTGCCAAATTGGGCTAGTTGTTTGTGCTATATGAGGCTATTCAAGATCTCAATCATAATAACAGATTTGAAACTATTGAGTTTAATAAAAAAATATTTGATCTTAGACTTCTGTATTGTTTTTTTTTGTGAAACATCATTTTTGTATATAAGTGCATCCTTTTTTTAAAGTTAAAAAGAAGAAACAAATAGAATAATCATTATTAGTAATAGCTGTATTAGTAATAAAAACTGTTTTAGTAATAAACTGAGATCTTGCACTCATACTTAGTCTTGCCAAATCATTCTGCCTCTTTTGTAGTGCAATGTTTTATAACATTTGATATTTTCGAGTGATAATCTGTTATATTTTCCTTAACCTTGTATTTTGTGAACCCAAAATGCCTTTAATAACATATATTCATAATATTTTTTATATATATAAAGTTTTAAAGTTTAGATAACAAAATATTAAAAAGTTCTTTAATAACTTAATAATAAAATTTATTTAAGATTTTTATTAAATTATTTAAATAATTTAATATTGTTAAGAATAGTAATTTTAGTGTAGTAGTTAGGTTATCATTCTTTAAACAATAGGTTCAGAGTTCAAATTCTACTAGTAATAGAATTTTAAAAAATAGTCCTATTTTGACAACTTAATTGTTTTAATCCTATAATTCTAATTGTACTAAGACTAACATTAAAAGTGTGTAATATTATATGAATAAATCTAAAAAGTATATATTCTATAAGAAGTCTTATTTAAAATTTTGACTAGAAAAGTAGTACAATTTTTGATGATATAATCTGTAAAAATTTTAATCTAGAAATGGAATCCTAAAGCAGATGATCTGTCAGGCAAGAATCTTAAATAATGAAATCTACCAACCTGGCTACTAGTTGAACTGAATATAAGTTATATTATATAGAACTAACTAAATTGATAATATAGAAGAACTTATAAAACTATAAAAGGTACTAATAAGATTATAAAAAGAAGTACTGGGATTGTATAAACTCTACAAGAATATAGCAGTTTAAGAATTATTCTGATTGTAAGTATTGGTCTTAATTATAGAAATACTGAGTTAACTAAAAATTAGATAATAGAAACCTCTGGTAAATTTAATACAAGGTTAAAGATTCCTTATATAGTTTTAGAAACCTAGTAATTATAGTATATTTGTACTAGTAAAAACTGGAACATTTGGTAAAAATAGGTGAATAGGTGAATGCAGGAACTAGATTGTTTAAATAGAGAATTTACAAATAGGTTCTAAATATGGTAGCTAGTATAGAACTTTCAAGTAAACTATTTAAATTAGATAATAATTAAAGTTGTATAAGTAGTTAGTTGTACATTCTTACTATAGTTGACCTCTGTAATTATTGTAATATAATCACAAATCTAAGTATACTATGAATAAAAGCCTAAGTTACAAGTACTTACCTTAATATTAAAAAAAATAATAATAAAATAATTAATATTGTTTATATAAAAAACCTAAGATCTTTTTATTTAAATATATTTATTTTTTTTACAAAAATAATATTAATATATAAATATTATTTTTAAAAATAAGATTTTAGACTTAGAATTTTTAAAGCTAATTTGATTTAGAGTTTCAATCTGTTATTCATTTATCTGTATCTAGATTTATTAAGATATCTATTTACTATTAATATTCTGATAATCTTGCAAATAGTTAGATAATTATCCAGATATTAATAGTAAAATAAATATTCAGATCCTTAATATTTAATAAATAAATAATAAATCAGAATTCTAATTTAACCATAAATTCAAAATTTAAAATCTAAAAGTACTCAAATACAATACAAAGCAATTTTTTTTTTTTTGCTTTAATATATTTTTTATATAAACCTATGCTGTACTTAATAGTTATATACAAATATTTTACTAACAACTTGACTTAGGTATAGTATATTTTTTCATATAAGCCATATACTGTGTACTTAATAGCACATATAGAATTTTAATTTAACATGATTTTTTTGTATAGGCCACATGTTGTCTTAATAGTTACATGCATATACTGTATATATTTTATATTAGTTTATATGCATATATACAATGCTTAATAGATATGTATATACAATATTTCATTCTCAAATATGACTTAGTCTTTTTTAAAGTCTTAGAAAATTAAACTTGCTAAGAGCTTGAACTTCATCTTCCTTCAAGGTTTTGCTATTTGTCAGAGGTTTCAGCATTCATCAAAGTTTCACTATTTACCAGAGGTTTTACTATTCATCAAGAGTTTCACTATTCATCTTAGCTTTGTCAATTTTATGTTTTGTCACTTTTATGTTTGGTTAGTTTTATGTTTTGTCAGATTTAAAACCATTTGTGAAAAACAGTTTCACCTAACAACTATAATGTTAACTAGAAGCAGATTTTTATAAAATCCTTAATTATGTACATTGTAATAATTAAATGGCGAGTCAGTCACTAATCAGTCAGATATCTTGTATAACCACTTGGGAGTGTTAATCTGGCTCGAAAGAGACATGTCAGATTTGTCGAGTGGTTTACATGGTAATGGTTGGGATCTATCAATAAAGGATGTTTCGGGTTAGTGTGGGTTAAATATACTAGCACACTTTTATAGAATCACAAGTTAAGGGCAGGTTATGTAGCAATAAGTATATTTAATAAATTTATCTGTTTATCATTATCAGCAAGCAGTTTTATTACGAGTGGTTATGAATTGTATGGATCATTTATTGGTTGCAAAAGGGAAGTTATTCTTCCTAAAGGGCCTTTCGGCCTTTTTTATAATTAAAAATCTCTACTTACATTATGCGATGGATACGACTGATATCTCTGATGCTACTGATCAGTCGTATCCCACTGATATTTCCCTTCTGACCGATCGTTGCTATTCGTCGCATTCGACACATGCATCGCATGCTACGGATGCGACCGACCTCTTTTCCTAATTAAGCAATGGACCCACCCCAAAATACAAGGGTCCATTCGGGTCCCACAACGTACATAACTTAGTCAAAGAACATTAAAATTTGTGATTTATGAATAATGGACAATCTATACTAATATTTGACACTGTGAAGATTTATTTGTCTGCTTTCTATATATTGTGCTTTCAATGATATTATTTCAAAAGTGAATGGGTATGTTAGTGATTTACAACGATGGGTGATTAATAATTTCAACGGTGTAACAGTGATCTTAACAATGGGCGTTGGTGATTTTAAAAGTGGGATAATGATTTGAACATTAAGTGAGTTTACGCCTTTAATGTTGACGGGTTAATTTTAGCGCTGGGTAAGCTAGAGTTTAATGAGTGTTTGCGATTCGAGTAACGACAAAGATTTTAACAACGAGTGGATTCGAGATTTTGTAGTTTAAATTCGTAACTTAGCAGCGACTTAACAATGCAGATTCGTAGATTGGTAGTGATTTTAGTAGTGAGTGAAGATTATACAAGATGTGTCCGTTATGATCACGCCGACCAATCGGAAAATGGATTTTGGTACGCACACCACTTCTTTCATTTCACTCGCTTCTGGTATGCGACCTACAGATGGCTAATAGAAACTTTGAAGAAATTAGTAAATGCAGACAAACTTCTATCATGCTAGTGATCTGTGATATTTCGTCAAATAATCTTATAGTGGGTTAATAACCAATAATGACATTTTGTTATAACAATGTTAGTTAAGACCATGAACATATAAATTTTTTCTTTTTATATTCATTATAAAAATTATTAAGACAGGCAAATTTTTTAATCGAATAATAATATACCCTATATTACAACCATATATTATTACAAATATATTCATTCATATAAAGAGTGCTTCAACTACAAAATAATTTCTATCTTAAACATGGATCATAATTGGCTTAATTCTCTTGAGACTTATTTTTTTCGTAGAAATATCATATATATTCTAAAAGATATAAGTCTTAAAACTGATATATTCCGACTATTTTAGTTTAAAGCTTTGTTTATCTCTTTTGTGTCAATCAGTTTGCTCGTATAAATATGGCTTGGATAAGTCGGTGTTTCGATTTTTGGTATTAATTTATCAGCTTTTAAGAATTGTTTTTTGATATCATAATCATCCTTCTGTTCCTTTTCATCCTTCTGTTCCATCTCATCAATCCAAGCGACGATTCTTGAGCTGATAATTGTAGCAGTTGGTCGTTCATTTGGATCAGAATCCATACATCTTTTGGCCAATTTCACATAGCATTTTGGAGTTCCTTTACCAAATTCTGGTCTATTTCCCTTAAGAATTTTTATAGCAAGTATAATATCAAACGGAATGCCATCAAATGATTTTTTTCCAGAAGATATTTCAGTCATAATAACACCGAAAGAGTATATATCAGCAGCTTGGGTGAATTGCTGACCAATCAAGACCTCAGGAGCTATGTATGGCATGACACCATGAATTTTACCATCTTGTTTAATATCAGACAATGTTGAAAGACCCAAATCAGTGATATACACATTATGCAAAATGTCTTGCAAGATATTTCCGGAGTGTAAATCTCTATGGATCAATTCTTGGGAATGAATGTATTCAAGATCCGAAGCTACACAATACAACAAATTTAAATTTTTTTTCCAATCCATTTTTACAACCTCAGAAAGGTTTTCACGCGATGATCCTTCCTTTGCATATTCCAAAACTATAATAAAATCTTTTGAAACTGGATCCCTTGATCCTCCGTAGCATTTTAAACCAATGGATTTTCGTATCCAATATCACAATAGTTTTTCAACTATTTAATATTAAATAATTGAATAACTTAAAATCAAATAACTTAAAAAAAAATGCAATTAATTAATAATATGATATTACCTCGTCAACGAATTCTTGACTTGATTTATTTGAATCATGAATTGCTTTTAGTGCAACATCCCTTCGTATGATTTCATTTTTATCAAACCATTTTGCCAAATATGCGGTTGCAAAATCACCTCTTCCGATTTCATTTACGGTGACACGGGCGAAACGGCGAGTCAGTCGCTTGTCGATGGGGTATGTCGTGTAACCTACGAACGGCTTAGTCGATAAGAGGCGGTTAGATTTGGCGAGTGGTGTGTTTATGGTCGTAGGTTTTATATTATAATTAAACAGGGAATTATTATAGGATGAAATTTATGATAAGCACTAACTGAACTGTCCTTGTAGGGCGCGAAGCCTTTATTATATATTGTTAATTACATATGCGCTCCTACAGCTATTAAAGATATTAAACTTATTATTTATCGTATATACTTTTAATGTCCTATACTACTTAAATCCCCTATATATCATATATCCCTTTACTTATAGTTCTTCCTTAAAACCCTTATCCCTGCTATTACCCTTATAATCGCTAAACGTCTTTTAAGAGCGATAATCCCGGGAAGCCCATTTTAGGTAGATGATCGACATAGCCATTAGTTATTACTGCGCCACCTCGATCACCTTCCTTCACGTGCTTCCGGGATCACGTTTCACAGCTCACAACGGTTGTAAATTCGTTGTAGGGAATCCATTTAGCTGATACTTTTCGTCATCTATTACTTTCATTAATTTATCATGATCTAAGTCTTTATGTAATAATTGCTTGCTTATCCTTTTTGCGTTTCTTCCCTTTCGATACCAATGATTAGCTCTTTGTATGTCTCTTATTACTCCTATTCTTTTTCTATAACAGTTTCCAACTTCCATGATTCCACAAACATCCCCCATATCTGCTGATTTTTTGAATAAATAAACGCTTTATCATTATCTTTTTCAATTCCAACTCCGTAAATTGCAGCTTCGTTACCCATCTCAGCAGATTTTTGATGATAAATGAATGCCTTATGTTCATCCTTTTCAACTCTAATTCCATGCCAATAACAATATCCAACGCTATTTGTTCCACTATCATCACCCATTTCTGCAGATTTTTTACTATACATGAATGCCTTATTTTCATCCTTTTCAACTCCAATTCCATTTCGATAACAAAATCCAACGCTATTTGTTCCACAAGCGTTACCCATTTCAGCAGATTTTTGATAATAAATAAATGCCTTATGTTCATCCTTTTCAACTCCAATTCCATTTCGATAACAATATCCAACGTCATATGTTCCACTAGCATCACCCATCTCAGCAGATTTTTTATAGTATTTAAAAGCCTTATGCTCGTCCTTCTCGACCCCAATACTTTTTCGATAATTCCATCCAAGTTTATTGAGTTCAGCGCCTGTTAGACTTATGTTTATGATATATAGTGACAATCAAAATTTTAATTGACATTTATTATTCTCGCTCGGATTACTTTATTAATATCTTATATATATATGGAATAACATTATGGGAGTAGTGCTCTCGCCGCAGGTCACGCAAGTCACGTGACGAAAGCATAGAGAGTATTGAATACATAGTCGTGGTGTGATGTTAAATTTGGAAAATAATAATGATCGCTTTAGCATAGAGACTTCATTTTCAAAATAAACTTACAAATGATAAATATATATTTATATAGATAATTAATTGTACCTGAAACTGTGTAAATGTAAATTTCACTGCAGTAGCAATGTGTCACGCTTTAGTGCAACAACCCTATTATCTCACAACTTAACGTTACTATAGATTGTAACTGAGAACTGGGCAAATGCAAGATTCACCGCAGTAGAGAAGTGCTCATGCTTTGGTGCAGCGACTTTTATAATAATTGGTAATATATACATCTATATTTGTAAGTTCATTGGGGGGGAGGGTAGAAACTAAAAATGACAGAGCCAGATAATGATAATTGGGCAGTGAAAGAAATAAGCACTACTGATCATCTCTTTTTCCATTATCTTAAATTCTCATTTCAATCATCCCTTATTCTTGTTTCCTTAAATTCCCATTTCAATCATCCTTTAGCATCAATTACTAAATTCATGCAACTTTTTGATCAGGACAATCCTCATGATAATAACATTAATGCTGACTATGTCAGCTCATGTGTCATTATTCTCGCTCGGATTACTTTATTAATATCTTATATATATATAGAATAACATTATGGGAGATAAAAAGAGAATCAGGACTAAGAATAAGGTTATTAAAAAATACTAAACTAAAATCTCATCTTAGTAGAAGTATTTTGTAACACTGTTGAAAATGATCTAAGGTAGAGTGTCACAGATTGAGATAACCATCCCCCAATGCTCGTAATTTGTGGTAGCATTAAACCAGCTTTTATTGCACCTGTGGCGTCACCAATACGAATGCTGTGGCCTGAGTATCTTCTTCTAATCTCACATGAAATGCTACTTTCTTAACTATTGAGCTTATTGCTCCTGTTGTCATACGTTTCCCACACATTCACAAATAACCAATCATTTCTTTTTAATTTTTCTCTAGAAGATAAGTAATTAGACACCAATTTTACTGGGCAGTATCTTGAGTTTGTAGGATCGATCGGGATGAATTTTCCTCTCGCAAATTGGTCAGTTTTTGACTTATTTATTCTGACTCAACAAATTCTCTCTGACATCTTTAAATTACCAACCTTCAAGTTACACAGCTCGCTAGGTCGTCTCATAGCATGTAATCCTAGTGCAATTAATGCACAATCTCTTATCCAAATCTTACATGGAGTGTTATAGGGTGGGTTGTCTACATAATTCCTTAAAGCCTCTGTTGGTAAGGGATCACATGGCCATGTGGCTTTCTTATTTTCTGCTATTTGTTTTGCTAATTTATGTACCAGGTTTTGAATGATAAAATTAACTGTTGGATCCTTAAATCCTTTTATTTGATGGTAGCAGCTAATTGCAATTAAGTACAATCTCGGATTTGCTGATTTTTCAATTAAATTTTTCCATATTAAAAACATCAAAATTGTATTTAGTTCTGCTGGACATGCAATGATTTTATGGAGTTTACAAAAGGTAATAAATTCTTTCCATAAGCCAAGTAAACATTTCTCATATGGTGAGTTTGGTAATAAAACCTTGTTCGCTCTCAATAATAATGAATTTAAAAATAAATTTTTATCGCTTGGAACTTCCAATTTGGATTTTTCCAAGGTTCTGAAGGTAGATTCCCACATTGACTTGGCAAAAAACTTTTGGTTGCGTGAGGAAGGTCTATTACCTTGATTCTTTGTTGAAGAAGGATAGGCCACCATGGTGCTGAAGGCCAAACTGGAGTTATTAATGTTATTGTGGCCTTGCATTGCATACTTTGTTTGAACACTTTGTGAAGGAGGCCCAGGAGAGAGCAAATGTAGTTGTTTTCATTTTCCCAATTTTGAGTAAAACAATCTACTGCTTCTGTCCCTGGGTAATAAAATTGGCTGTTGAAGCGGCAAACTTTTCTTGAATGATAACTTGCCATTCAGTCTATAGAAAATGAGCTTCACTTTTGATCTATAAACTCGAAAAGCTCTTGGGAGAGTGTCCAATCTGTTTCGTCGAATAACCTTGTTAACTCATCTGCTGGGTTTAGTTGTGAGGGTACCTATAGAAATTCTTGGATTTTGATATTTTGTAACTCGCAAAAGGTCCATACCTCCCTCATTATCTCCTTCTGCCAGGGCCTTTTTCCTCCTGACTCCATTGTCTTTCTGGCTATGCGATTGTCTATAAAAACTGTTACATAATAGTCTGCAATGACTGGAGCAAATGATTCAAGACCAAGAAGGGTTGCCATAGACTCTAGGATTGCAATATCTGTATGCCTGTGGCAACGATCTCAATTCCCAAATGCTCGTCTTTTTCCTATAGCTGCAGACCAACCTGTTGTGGATGCATCTACAAATAATGCTATTACTTGTGCAGGCTTCCATGCTGGACTTCTATTCATTTCTCTTAAATTTTTTATGGTCCAGTTTATATCTATAACTGCTTGGAATGTTAAGTGTATTGGTGTATTCCATTCCCAAACCTTTTGATTCTCTGCATCTATTATTGAATAAAGTTCTAAACACTGAACTTTCGTGAATTTGAAAGCCTTGTTTAGGCTTATTAACTTGCCAGTAGTTGAAAAAAGGTGATGGGCTGTAAGCCGTCTTTTGGATAGGAGTTCTCTCAGGTCGAATAACACCTCTTTTATTTTTTTTCTGGAGTAGTAATGCTTCCTAAGACTGTGTCTAATATAAACCCATAATATTTTGCTTTTTGTGTTGGCTCCAGATATCCTTTCTCTGCTAAGATGAAGCCACAGTTTCTTAAATCTTTTAATATTATTAGATCTTTTATTTTTAATAATGTTTCCTGATTCGGGTGGGCGATCCAAATGTCATCCACATGGTTTCCACAGAATTCCCGCAGGCCCTCGTATGCCCTATTAGAGCCCTCATAACCTTTGAAAATATCCATACCGCTTGGCTTAGGCCAAACGGTAATACATGATAATGGTACCAACATGTCCTGATTACAAACCCTAGTAACATTTGCACTTTTTCTTCTATTAATATATGATGATAATCTTCTTTTAGGTCTAATATTATTATCCACCAATTCTGTCCTACCATTCTCAAAAAGGTTGAAAATCCTTCAAATTTGAATGACTTTACAGGCAATGTTTTGTTTAGTCATCTTAAATCTATAATCAAATGCCATTTCTTTGGACCTGCCTTTGGCACCAAAAAGATTTGACTTACCTCTAATAATTGTTTTGGTCTTACTCTTGAATTTGCAACAAACATTATTGCTTTTACTTCCAATAATTGATTTATTTCCATCTCCAACCAAGACTGTTGGTCTTGTATAAGTGGATATCGAGGCGGGTCTGGTTGGCCCATTAAATTTAACAACCCTTTTGGGAATAATGTGATTCCCTCCTTTAACCATTTGATTATTAGTCTTGATGGTTTTACTTGTTCTATTTAATACCTCACATGCTCTTTCATATGAATTTGACCCACCACCAGTATTAGCTGTTGAGCCTGAGTGTAGTCACTCATACTTTGTGTCATCACACCCTCTATTTTCATATTTATTTCTATATGCTGTATATCCTCTTGATTTATATCCATAACGTTGTTGGTCAGGAGTTTTATTAGGGTCTGAAGCACAAGTTCTCACAAAGTGGCTGTGGCCTCTGCAGATGTAGCATTTATTTTGTAATGGAGTAGTGTTGTTTTGGAACTGATAGCTGGAACGAAAAAACTTATTCTGAGTCTCACTGTGATGTTTGTTATGATAACTTAGTTGATTGTTATTTTTTCCCTGTAGATAACTAGGGTTTTTCTCTATACTGTATGTCTTGTGTCATTTATTCCTTTTCACATCCACAATCGCTTTTGCTTTTTCAATTAATGTATTTTTACTTTTCAGCCAATTATCTTGTATGTCAGGTAGAGCTGACGCAATCTCCCAACTGAAGCCCTCTGCTACTCGCAATGTGAACATCCTACTTTTTATTCATTCCTTTGCTGTATTTAAATGATTTGTGACATTATCTGCTGTTAAAGATTCCAACGCCAGATCAAGCTCCTTTCCTATTGACCTCAATGTGTTATACTCATGTTGGTTATGTGCCTTGTCGAATTTATGTTTAGGCCAAGCATCTTTAATTTCTGCTTTTTGGCATGTCTCTTGTACTTGAAGTGTCACTGTGTTTAATTTGTTGTCAAAATTTAGCATTGCATTTTCTAACTTCTTAAACCCAATCAATAATTTTTCTTCCAAGGAACTTGGTGCATCATCATTTTCATGTAACTTTCTTTTCTTTGTTGATTTACTTGACTGTGTTTTAGGGCCTTCATGAAGTTCTTCATCTTGTGAACTGGATTTTGATGAGATATCTTTAATACGTTCCATGCTCTTTCTTGCAAGCTCTCTCAATGCTTGTAGGTCTTTATCAAAGATGTCTGAAGCTTCTGAATGATACCCAGAGACTACAGAGTTAATGTCAACTATCTCTTGTCTCGTAGTTTCTAGATTTTCTGGCATTTCATTATTAATTCCATGATTCTCATACTGTGGGTATTCCTTTATTCTTTGGACGAGGTCTGTTTTATTTCCTTCTGTTGATATTCCTAGAATTTGGCAAATATCTGCCAAATCATTTTTCGATAGGTTTGAATCTGACATAATGGATACCACGACTGAAGACTAGCTGACTAAAAATGACAGAGCCAGATAATGATAATCAGGCAGCGAAAGAAATAAGCACTACTGATCATCTCTTTTTCCATTACCTTAAATTCTCATTTCAATCATTCCTTATTCTTGTTTCCTTAAATTCTCATTTCAATCATCCCTTAACATCAATTACTAAATTCATGCAACTCTTTGATCAGGACAATCCTCGCGATAATAACACTAACGCTGACTACGTCAGCTCACGTGTCATAGCATACATATATGATAATCGTTTACAAAAACAATCAAAGTTTATTTTTAATTTATACAAAAAAATCAATTTTTAATACTGTACTGTATATTGTTTTAATTTATTTGTATAATTAATTTACTGTAATTAAAATAATTGAGTAATCATGTAAACTGTTCTACTTCCTGCTTAAAAGTAACATGCAAAAATAATTTCAATAGTTTACATCGATTATTCACAACCATATGCATATGTAATAGAACAATATATAATAAAGGCTTTGATCCCTACATGAAGAGTAGTGAGTTCGTGCTTGTAATAAAATTTGACCCTGATAATTCCCTGCTTTTGCTACACTGTAAAACCTACGATCATAAACACCACTCTCCAAATCTAACCGCCCCTTATCGACTAAGCCGTTCGTAGGTTACACGACGAATCCGATTGAGGAGCGACTGACTCGCCGTTTCGCTCGTGTCAATGGTTACCAATTAAATCTAAATTACTCAAGTAAATTTTTTTTAAACCTTTGATTTATTAAATAAATAAGTAAATTTTTTTTTAAGAATTAATAAATTTTGAACCAAACATTTACAAATAAAACCTGTTAAATAGTATTTTACAAATATAATATGTGAAAATCAGTTAAAAAAAATAAATATTACTATAGATACATATCTATATACTGTACATGTCTGATATGTATATGCATATATATGTATGTATAATATGCTTATTATTCTAATATGTGATTTCATAATTTTTAAGAACATGCATGGATATGAAATTATATGCCAAATAATTATATATATTACAATATTAATTATACATTGCAAACCACTATTTAAAAAATTCATATTAAAATTTTACTATTTAACACTGTTCATACTATCTTCCTAAAAATAATATCCTACATATCACATAAAATACTCAATGAAATCGCTGGACCCAATACCCAGTACTATTCAATTTTCAAATAGGATTCTCAAATAAGATCCTAGATCTTAAAAGCAGTACGAAATAGTACTAAGAATTGAAGTTTTTGAAAATCTTCAGGATCCTTCTAAAATCAATGTATAAAATCATTAAATAATATATTTATAATAATATCAACGGCCTAATAATTTCGACAGTCAAATAATTTTGACAGTATAAAATAATTTGACATCATAAAATAATTTTGACCGTATAAAATAATTTTGACAATCTATAATAGTACCGACTGCCAAAAAATTTGGGCATCCAGTGTTTTGAAGTGCCATGCTAAAAAAATTGTCAATCTGTCTGTTTTAAATCACCCATAATTTAGACACCCATGTATATCAGCCAATAATCATCGGCTAATCTTTATCAGGTCAATGGTAAAAAAAAACTAAATAAGAGATGGGCGGCGTTTCGCGTCACCTATAATAATAAAAAAGGATGAATAAAAGCACAAAAAATATAGTTTGGTGTTCGACTGAGACTTTAAATATATAATTCATTTGTTAACTATTGTTAAACTTGTGGCATAAGTTAAATATTTATATCCACGCGGTGTAACGAATTTTTCTGCTCATATTGTCTAATTTAACCTGCCACAATATCCTTTCATATATCCATAACAAAAAAATGAAATTATTTTATTACCTTTACGTCATATTGTTAAATTTTCAACCGCTTTATATTTTAGTTAAAGCATACATCCCAATACCTCGTCATTTACATAGCGCCACATTAGTAGGCAATAAACTTTATATATTAGGCGGCGATATTGGTTCTACCGATCCTAGTGCATTTTTGCCTTCAAATGATTTCTTTTATCTCGATGTCTCTGTCGCATTTAATACGACAAATATTCCATGGACAAATCTAACAGGTGTCGTTGTTATTCCTAAACATTCACGTGCAGCAGTGTCTACTAGAGACAAAATCATTTTCTTATTTGGTGGAGGATTTGAGAATTCTAGTTATGGCATTCCTTTAGTTTACACATTTAATACTATAAAAAGTATGTGGAATACAGCTGCTATACAGGGAATTCAACCTCCTAGACGCGAATCCATTCATTCGGTTATTGATGCTACAGGTAAAATGTATATATTCGGTGGGGACTATAGTCCTAATACAGGAAATTTGTCCTTGAGCTTTGATAATAGAATGGATATTTTGGATACTGTTGGATTAACTTGGTCAAGAGGATCTCAACTCCAAGCTCCCTCGCCAAGAGATGCTTATTCCGCCACTTTACTACCAAACGATATGATTGTTTATCTAGGTGGACCCGGAAATAATGCTCAGAATTTACGAGAGGTTTGATTTTTAGTTTATTATTTTTTAATATTTTAAATTATTTAATAACTTATTGTTATATTTATAAGATATATTTATACGATACAAAAAGTGATACATGGGCAACAATGGTAAACTGCTGTTAAATGCACATGTAAAAATTTTAATTTGCTAAAGCAAAAGATAGATCATTAGCAAATCAAAACTTTTCTAGAATAATATTTGACTTAGTACATCGTGAATGACTAATAAAACTTTTTTAGATTACCATCGGAACCATTCCTGATGCACGTGCACATCATACAACGGTGCTGGGTAAGGTTGAACTTCTCTAAAAAGAGTATATTCTTACTGATTTGAATCTATTTTTCAAATACTATAAGATAGGTATTTCTATTAATTTGATTCTAATTATGAAACTGATTATTGTGCTTTGCAAAATTCCGCGACCCATGATTATATATTAATAATCAAGGGGATCGCAGAATTCTACCAAACCTAATTTATACATAATTTTGATTTGATATAATACATTTAACTACTTGGGTAAAAAAGTTACAATTATAAGTTGCAACTGATTTTGCAAGCAATTCCAGTAGAAAATGTAATTAATTTAATTCAATAAAAATTTCGATTAATCCTAGTTCATCAAAATAGAATCAAATTAGTTGATAATTAAAATAGAATTAGCAAGTTATACTTCTCTAACATTGGTCAACTAGCTCTAATAAATGCTAAATTAATTTACATTTCGTATATTCTTTAGGGTTAAATAATGATCGTCTTATCGTTTATGGAGGATATTATACTTCATCCCCATTAGTTCACGATCTTTCTGTATTAGATATACGTAACAAACCATACCAATGGTTTATGCCAAATATTTCTGGTACCATTCCACCTACACCAGCATATCATACTGCTAATGTGGTCGGAAAATATATGATTATTTGTTATGGTATAGAGTATAATGCTTATTCTTTTATTCATATTTCAATTTTCGATCTTCTATTAATGACTCGAATTGTAGGTTTCATAAATTCGCAAGGATATGCAAATCCTGATATGTTTATTCTTGATATTAGTGATGATTTTGAGTATAAATGGGTTACATCATTTGATCCTAACTCCGTTTCTAGCCCAAGTCCCGGCCATAATGACCCGTCAAATTCGTTAAATGGAGTTAATAGCATTAGTACTGGTACAATTGTTGGGGCTATTATTGGAACATCTCTAGGAAGTATTTTGTTTACAGTTTTTGTGATAGTGATAATTTATAGACGGCATAAAAAACGAAAATATGCGCATGCAATTCCAACTCATGGAACTTATTGAAAAATTCCTTCATTTTATTGTTAGTCAAAATTAATAATATAGCTCTAATTAGGGGTGTGGCGACCTAGTGAAGTGGTCAGGTTGTCAACCCCCCAAGTGGTAGGTTGGGTGTTCAAATCCCAT